ATGGCACTGGCACGTACCTGCAGGAATATGAAAACAGACAAACACAACTGAGTTTTGTATTCATCATCATAATTGGCCTATCCTGAGCATATGCATAACCATAGAATTAAATGGAATATAATAATTCTTAATTCCAAACGATTTTCTTTGTTTCAGTGCTTGTCTACCATGCTTTAATGACTGCATTTATTAGGATTTCCATCTGTTGTTAATTATTTTGGCCACTGCATTAGCTATTTAGAAATTAATAGCTTCTTATTTTGAACTACTTGTTTTTTTTGTTTATCCATCTACCGTGCACCATGACTACGCTGAAGGAGTTACAGATGCCAGCAGCTGAGATGAAAGAGACTCTGCAAACAACAACTGTTGCCTGGGTTCTTCACCAGTCAGTTTTGTGAGAGAGTAGTAATGACAAAGCTACTATTGGAAAAAGCTCATATCAAGGCTTGACTAGAGTTTGCCAAAAGGCCAGTGGGAGACTGTGTGGTTAAGAGGAAGAATGGTCTTTGGTCAGATGAGACCAAATAGGAGCTTCTCTGTCATCAGACAAGATGACATGTTTGACACCACGAACACACCATCCCCACTGTGAAGCCTATGGTGGTGGGCAGCAGGCCCTGGATGGCTTGTGAAGGTAGAAGGTAAAATGAATGCAACGAAACATAGGGAAATCCTAAAGGACAGCTTGGATAAATCTGCAAAAGAACTATGCTTTCAGAGAACAATCAAGAGGACAACCTGAAGAGTCCAGCTAAAACTTCACAGAGAACATTTGAAGACAGCAAGGTGAATGCTCTGGAGTGGAGCAGACAAAGCCCGGACTTCAGTCCCACAGTCAATCCTCATGCAACCAGACAGAGGTCGATTAGTTTAGCAGGAAGAATGCATCCAGATGTGCAGCACAACTGAGACGTATTGACCCAGACCCCAAACTATGACTGCAGCCAAAAGTGCACCTATTGACTCTAAAGGAGTTAATTCAGTCACTCATTTTGTCAAACATTTTTTAATCATCATTATTTTGTAGAAACTAGTTTTTACTTTGACAAATGTTTTTTTTTTTTTTTTTGTAATTTCTTGTCAGCAAACCACAGCTGAAAAAAACCAAAACAATCTGGAAAAGTTTTATTGGAGAAATATATATCAATCTCCATTCTGTGTTTCATCAGCAAAATTGTTGAAAAAACTGTTTCAAAAGTTAAATAGCTTCTTAATAATGACCAACTCTTTGACATTCTTTAGTCCGGTTTCCGTTCTCACCACAGTACTGCCCTAGTCAAAGTGTTCAGTGACATTCATATAAATGTAGACTGTGGAAGAATCACAGAGCTGGTTCTGTTGGACCTCAGTGCAGCTTTTGACACTGCTGATCATGACATATTACTGAAACGACCAGAGAGTTGGGAAGGACTCTGGTACAGGACTTGACTGGTCTGAATCTTACCCAGAGAACAGGGACGTCTTTGTGTTGATAACGTTTCATCAGAGCTGATACAGATCACATGCAGGGTACCCCAAGGTTAAATCTTGGGTACGCTCTTATTTAATATCTACAAGTTCCCCCTAGCTCAGATTATAATAAGAAATGATGCATTACTGTGCAGATAATACACAGTTTTACATCTCAATGTCACCACAGCCTCATGTATAAAAAGTGTGCAGATTTAACACAAAAAAATTGGCATAAGGACAAATGTTGAAATGTGCACCACACAAAAAAATTCGGATGTATACCACCATGCGCACACACCTGGCTATACAACTTTCCTTTATTCATCTCAATT